GCAGCTAGGGGTGTAAACAAGCCGAGTCGAGCTCGACTCGAAAACTTTAAATACAAGCTCGACTCGACTCGAAAACTAACAAGCCTAAAATTTTCAAGTTCGACTCGAACTCAAAATATAACATTGAAACTCGACTCGAACTCAAAAAAGCTCGAACTAAAAAAAAATTCAAAAACTCGACTGAAGCTCAAGACTTAACTCGATTGAAGCTCGATTTTGAGCTCAACTTTGAGCTCGATTCAAGCTTGACTTTGAGCTCATTTGAAACTCGAAAACTGATTAATTTACAATTGTTGAAACCCATCCCCTTTTATACACTCTCTTTACCCCTTATTCCCCAAGAACCACTGATGTGGGATATGCACTACTTTCAAACAGCTCAGCAACAGAAACAACAATGGGGTAAGATGATGTTGTATACACATCATTTACATCAGCAAGAGCATCCGCCCCTCCATAGCTGACGAAAAGAGGGAAGTCGTTTGGAATGCCGGTCATGTTGTATGCCGGAGGCGTCGGTTGCCCATAATGTTTCATATTTTCGACCACGTCAACGTAATCGTACATCGTTATAGTCCCTTGCCTAATCACTGGTTAATTAACCCCAGAAAATTTTCAGCAGAGATGTTCTTAAAACTGGAATCTTTGTGGCTTGTTCAAAAGGGTTTTATGGATTACTTACTCTGAGCCAGATGGACCATGTTCTTTGTTGCCGATGGTTGAGGCTCATGAACTAGAAACATATTTACTATGGAAGAGTTCAAGCAACAATTTTGTCCTGTAAAACTTGTCAATAAGTTAGTGCAATCAACGCCTGGTTTGCTGCAGATTTCTTTCAGAAGTTTAACTACTGTCTCCCTGTTCATAGGAAACAAATGTGAACTTAAATCCCACATTGCTCGAACTTTCATTTCCACCAAAGAATAGAGGTGGGGTTCTTACCCTCGTGGGTCAAATTCATCGAGGCCTAACCAGTAGACTGTCTTTCAAAGAAGGAAGAAAATTACAAAGAAATAGTTGTCTACTTCTGCTGCTGTTCCGACTGTTTTGCATTTGGAATATGATGAAATGTATGTCTTTTACCATTTTTCTCTTTGGGAAATGAATTTGGGATTGCTTCAGTATACGGCACAAATGATGTAGAGGTGAGGCGAACCTTCCCAAGACAGGTTTTAGCATTGTTTGCTTTGTTATGGCTGTAAACATAAGCTTCAAGAGGAAGACGAGATTTGATTTTTCCGCACAGAAAGAGACAAACAGAGCAGTCAACTTAATATAAACTAATTACAACTTGGAGGTTTCATATTATTGTTTTTGGTAAATTAAGTTATAGTCCCCAAAACTTGAGCACCCTATTATAAATCCCTAATTTATAACTTGATTTGTATGTTGAATTTTACGTTTATTTAAATTTTTAGTCATTAGTTTAATATGTATATGCATGTTTAATAAATTTATAGTTTGGTATGTTATATTTTAATTTTTGTATTTCAATCACATTTGTTTAAATTTTCTTATTTGTTTTAAATGTTCAGGTGTCATTTATGTTATTTTCTATATTATTTTAGCTTAAACCGAATAGGATCAATTGCATATAAGACCTTATAGTTTATGCGCATTTTGTATTTAAGTCATTAGTTTAATTCCAATTTTATAAGTTTAATTTTACATTTACGTGAATTTAATCATCATTCTAAAGTTAGTATATTTAGCTTAAATTAGTCCTCACATTTAGATTTCTCTTAATTTAGTCCCTGTTTAGAATTTTTTTTCTTTAATTAGTTGTGTATATTTATTTTGCATGTTGATATGTTTATGTATAAGTATGCGATTGATTTATTTAAGAGTCACATAACATCATTTTGTATAATTTGTATGTTACCTTCATGTGCATAACTTAACCTCTATCACATAATCGGATTTAGGTTTTAGGGTTTAGGATTTAGTATTTAGGGTTTAGAGTTTATTACAAAGATATTAATTAATCGACTTGGTACCGATTTATGAGGTAAGTATAATTTAGGATTTAGTGTTTAAGGTTTAGGGTTCATTGTAATGACATTAATTAAAATTTGAGGATAGTTGTATTATAGAATTTTTAATATATTTTTAAAATTTTATAATTATCAATAGTGTATTTTTAATATATTTTTAATAATGAAATTTTAAAAAATCTAAAATTATAATATAACATTTTTTCGAGCTGCTCACGAGCTTTTCGAGTCGAATATCGAGTAGCTCGTTTTAGGCTCGTTAAGAACTCGAGTCGAGTCCATTCGATTCGAGTATTTATCGAGCCTTGATCGAGTCAATCTCGAGTAACTCGCGATCTATCTCGTCTCATTTACAACCCTAGTTGCAGCAATGGTTAACGTCTTCGAGACTTACCATGCTTACTTGTCCCGAAGACCGGCCATGCCGTTCAGGCTCAATGAATCAGAGCAAATGTCAGTTTATAAGGTTAATTTCTGTAAACATCATAAGAAGAAAACAAAAATGTTCAGCAAAAACATAAGAAAATGGAAGGAAAATGTAAACAAATAGAGCATCGTATGTGGGAATCAAACCCACGACCACATAGTTAAAAGCCATGCGCTCTACTGACTGAACTAAGATGGCCTGTTTGATCAAAGTCTAAAGTATAAAAATCTTTTCAACAACCGTTCATCGTAGATTTAATTTTAACTTGATTTTATTTTAAAATGGGATTTTAAATTCAGATATTTTAATTTAAAACAAATATTTATTTATGATAGAATTTGTGTGCGATGTCATAATTCTGATTTTAATTTTTAAGGGAGTAGACCCTCTTTTATTATGTGTAAAAAAATTATCAATAATACAATGTCAAAGGACTTTCCTTCTAAAAACAATGACGTTCCCGTTCTTTGTTAGCACTTCTTGTTCATATTTTTCTTAATGTTTTAATATAATTACATAATAATATTTATGTTCGATTTTAAATGTATATACATTCGTACACTTACATTTTAAAATAAAAAATTATAAATTATAAATATAAATAATTGATTAGATCCAAATTATATTAGAAAATTAAAAAAATATAAAAAATAATAAATTTTAAGAGATGTAGAATTAGATCAATCATAACCCAACATTTACTTGATCCATCCTTTATGTGACTTAATTTCGTATAAATATGAACTATCATACGTAATATTTATATAGTAATACATGAACATATATACTCAAAATTTTAAAATTTTAGCATGAATCAAACTACCTTGGTTGTTAAAGGGATAGCTAGAGGTTTCGGGTTTCAGCACCAGTGACTGCATGATATTTGAGCGTTCATTGTCACACGATTAGGAGTCTTTAAAACAGATATTACTAGACACTAGACTAATAAAAAAATCTAAAACCTTTTGTAAAAAAAATCAAAAACTTTAAACCCATTGAGTGATCCCAGTAGTAACAAAGAATGTTATTCTCCATATAAAATATGAATTCGAGTACTTATATCTGAAGAGTATGTGTTCATTATTCACAACTAAGAAAAATTTTAAACATATAGTACCTTATAATCAACCCAAACTATTAAAAAAATTAAAACCTTAATCTTTCGGAAACAATTAAGATATCATTAGTTTTCTTTTTATTAGAATTATATTTGAATTTAAATCAAATAGTTTAGAATTGACGACACCGTTTTTAACCCAAGTGGGAAAAATATTACGACTTTTAAAAAATGATGGAGTTTTCTTTGACAAGATTTGTGAAATGTCGAGAGTCACCATCAACCATTTTTAAGGTGCACTTGTAACACTTAAAATTAGGTAATTTTAATAAAATATTTTATTTTATCAAAAATACCAGTTTTGTCTGCAAAAAATCAGAAATCGGGTTCATGAGTTAGTTAGCGTGGAGAATGATTAACACCCCACAACGCCCAGAAATTGGTACCTAGTCGATTACCCTATATTTAAAAATTGAAAAATTTGAATTGAAGGTTTTATTTAATTTAAAATTCATTATGTATGCAAAGTTTTAAAAAATAATATCGATTTACTTCGATGCCCGCCTTTGTATTAAAAAAATATTCGCATTTTTAGGTTAGCATTCCCTCCTCCATCATGCAAGCCTGTAAGTAGAGAGGAAGACAAAATTAAATATCGGCAAGAGATGAAATATTGAACTTTTAAAAAAAATACAATGGCTTATTAGGTATTTAAACATAAATTGTTATTATACCAAAAAATGAGAACAATAAATTCTTCTTCTTTAGTTCGGTTCCTATCTGATTAAATATTTAATAAATTTTCATATTTTTTAATTTTAATACTTATTTTTAAATTAAATAAAATGGGCTAGACGATGATAACAACATTTGTAAAATTAGTCAACCAAATAGTATTGAACGTGTGACTTAATTCTTATATTTTTAAAAAATGAATTTTATAAATTATAAATAAAACTTCAATTTTTTTTTCTCCAGAAAATGCCTCAAAATTTGTAAAATTCTAAAATATTCCTAAAATCTCAAATCCCAAAATCAATTTTAACGCTGATTACTATTACCATCAACAATTAATCACTTTTCTATCGACAATCATGCAATTCAATTGAAATGTAAGAATTTGAGTATTGTGATTTAGGGATTATATTTAGGAGACTGAGATTATGATAAGGGGATGATCGATCAATGACACATAAATAGACGGTCGACAGGGGTAATAGCATATAGAGACAGTCGAAGACGAAGTTGATACATTTGGATTAAAGATTTTAATTTTTTTAGAGATTTTAGAAATTTTTTGAAAAATAATAATAGTTTTAATTATTTTTAATTTAAATTTAAAAAAAATTATAAATGCACCATATGTCATATTTTAAGAGGTTGATGAATTTTTTTTAACAAATGTAATAAATCAAACACTTGAAATGATAATATCTAAAGCGGTAGATATTTCCTTTAACGAAAAAAATATTAAACCCAGAAAATAAACCTAAATTAGGTGTTTTATAATTAAGAGTTTATATCATAATTACTCCAAATAATAAATAAATTTCCAATTCCTAAGCCCCAACGTTAGAATTTCATAGAAACAGAGGATTTTAGACTCTTTTTTTTTATGATTAATGGCTGCGAGTGCGAATCCGACGGGGAATAATCAGGAAGGTTCGTCGAACCAGAACGTAACGCCGCCGCCTCCACCACCAGCCAATGGCGTTTCCGTCAATTCGAACAACAGCGGGGGTAATACATCCTCCGCAGCCGCCGCCGCCGCCGCCGTCCCGTCTGATACTCAGTCCGCGTTAAGGCACAACCCTGGCATCTCCCTTGATTGGATTCCTGAAGAACAAACGATGCTCGAAGATTTGCTAGTCAAGTGAGCTCCCTCTCCCTCTCCGTCTTCAATGTTTCATTTTTGTTTGCATCTTTTATCGTTTTGTTTCTTTCATTTTTTTACTGGACGGAACTCGTTACTCACACTTGTTGTGCTTCAGCTCATCTTACTTTAATAAGCTTTAAAGAAAGTGGAATCTGGAAATATTATTGTTACACTTAATATTTGATTTTCAAGTTTATACTTGATTCTCAGATGCGAAATAAATTATTGTCTTTGTTGATGCGAGTACTTTTCGGTTCTTGCAAGTATGCTTGTTGCTAAATTTTGATTCGTAGGTTCAAGGGAAAGGAGGAGATTATTTTATTCTTCCTTTAATTCTTTGTTCCTTGGACGTATTTAGGTGTGTCTTTCTCTCTGTGTTAGTTGCCCAATCCTTGATGATTTTGCATTTTTCTATACTTTAAAGACAAGGAGTTCTTTGTAAAAGACATTTGGTTAACTACTTTATGTCTTTAGTTTGGTAAAACATGCTTCTGTATTAACTTTTCTTCCTCGGGTCAAAATTTATGCTATATAGTATAATAGACTCTCCATTAAGTGAATGGTATACTACTTTTAGTATGAGTATGCTTGGCAGTTTCTGGAGGTTAAATACCATTGTATGGTTTATTTTTTTTATTGCCGCCTCCTCCACCACCAGCCAATGGCGTTTCCGTCAATTCGAACAACAGCGGGGGTAATACATCCTCCGCAGCCGCCGCCGCCGTCCCGTCTAATACTCAGTCCGCGTTAAGGCACAACCCTGGCATCTCCCTTGATTGGATTCCTGAAGAACAAACGATGCTCGAAGATTTGCTAGTCAAGTGAGCTCCCTCTCCCTCTCCGTCTTCAACGTTTCATTTTTGTTTGCATCTTTTATCGTTTTGTTTCTTTCATTTTTTTACTGGACGGAACTCGTTACTCACACTTGTTGTGCTTCAGCTCATCTTACTTTAATAAGCTTTAAAGAAAGTGGAATCTGGAAATATTATTGTTTACACATTAATTATTTTGATTTTCAAGTTTTATACTTGATTCTCAGATGCGAAATAAATTATTGTCTTTGTTGATGCGAGTACTTTTCGGTTCTTGCAAGTATGCTTGTTGCTAAATTTTGATTCGTAGGTTCAAGGGAAAGGAGGAGATTATTTTATTCTTCCTTTATTTCTTTGTTCCTTGGACGTATTTAGGTGTGTCTTTCTCTCTGTGTTAGTTGCCCAATCCTTGATGATTTTGCATTGTTCTATACTTTAAAGACAAGGAGTTCTTTGTAAAAGACATTTGGTTAACTACTTTATGTCTTTAGTTTTGGTACAACATGCTTCTGTATTAACTTTTTCTTCCTCGGGTCAAAATTTATGCTATATATAGTATCATAGACTCTCCATTTAAGTGAATGGTATACTACTTTTAGTTATGAGTATGCTTGGCAGTTTTCTGGAGGTTAAATACCATTGTATGGTTTATTTTTTTATTGGCATTGGAAACGCATCACAATATGGCAGGGTAACACCTCACAGGAATGAATCTTCCAGTTATTTAATGGGATGGTTAGGAGATAAACTATGGTTAAAACTCTTCACCACTAATCAATGGGTATGACCCATTTTGTATGAATAGTTTATTACTCTGGGCATGGATGTTCTTATTCGAACATCTTGTTTGTGGTACCAGATTCCTGGGCTCATGAACACACACCTTTAGCTAATTTGATTCTACGGGGAATTCCAGTATATTCTGCAAGCTTGGGACGAACATGGTTGATGAATACAATAAGGTTGCTTGAGTTGTTATGAATTATATTTATGAAGTTCTCCACCTTATCGATGAGCTTGCTCTCTAACACAATGCAATTATTCCAGGCACTGTGATCACAATAAATAAGTGGACAGGATTCGTTTTTCATCTTGAAGTTTAGTCACTGATTTCTTCTTGTAACTTTGCATTTATGCTGTTGTGATCTTTTAGAACAACTAATATTTCCAATATAGAACTATTAGCATGCTGGATCCATTTAAAGCGGCCTGTTTCTTTGTTTAAACTATGTTTGATATGTGAATTTAGGCAGTGGTTCTGGTGGTTATGAATCTGAATCTCTCATGTTACTACCTTGTAAGAAATCTAAAGTAAAAGCTTAATTTTGATGCTGGCTTACATAAGAACTTCTGTCATACATGTTGCTTGTTTCTGTAAATTGCTATGCAAGAAATTAATAAATAATGTGCAATGTGTTTTCTCCTGGTTGAGTCTTAGGCATACTTGATATTCTCCTGTTATTTGGTTGTGAACAATATTTATTCCTTTTATATTTCTTCACTTGCCTTTGATAAAAGAAGGCAGCGCAATTAATCAACAAATATGTCTTGCAATATCTCTGTTTGCAGGTTTGCTTCAGATTCGACCATTGTTCGCTATGCAAAGATCGCGAAGCAGTTGAAGGATAAAACAGTTCGGGAGGTGGCATTGCGTTGTAGATGGATATCTGTAAGTTGTTCATTTCAAATTGTATGTTTTAAAAAGATTTGGAACCAATGAGGTTCTTGAAAATTGATTAAAGGATTTCATGATTAACCCATAATTTGTCCTTGTTCAGAGCAATTTATCTGGTTATAAGTTGATTATTTTGGACCAAATGTTCCATTTTTCGTGAATGTGAAGAAAAACTATTGGGGTAAAGGGATGTATTTGTCCAGATTTTATTGGAGGCGTAACTAGGCTATTTTGGATCAAATGTTTCATTTTATGTGAACGTCGAGAGAAACTTTTGGGGTAAAGGGATGTAGTTATCCTGTTTTTACTGGAGGCAGAACCCAAAGTCTGATATATTTGACGTGTAGTCTTTACCAAAGGGTAGAGACAGGACTACTAATAAGGATGTGGAACCAACTATAAGCTTATTGATGTCTATTAAATAATACTTCTAAATTGCCTTAAATTGCAGTGACATTAACTTCAATTCCAGCTTTATATTTGTAATATGAACTTTTGTAAGAAATGAATTTTAGATTATATTTCATATAACATTAAATTACTAAAATGCATTAGATTGCAATGACATTAACCTCAATTCCAGCTTAAATATTTGTCCTATACTTTTGTAAGAAATGAATTTTAGATTATATTTCACATAATATTGAAAATTCTAAAATGTTAAATTGCAATGACATTAACCTCAATTACAACTTTAATAGTTGTCCTTGACTTTTATATAATATTAAAAATCCTACTTACATATAGCTGTAAGGTTCTACTCAAAGTTCAGTGTATTACAGCAGAAAGAAAGTTGCCTAACGTAGGTAAAAAATGTTTATCATTATTCATGAACAAAAATTAGCTGTCGGTTGTGTTTAAGACTGACTATGTTGGATTCCTTGTTTAGCTTATTAAGACGCCTCAGAAAACTACTTAATGAGATAGGTTTTCAAAGCATTCTTATTTTTCTCCTTCTCTTTTCTAAGTTTTGTCAGAAATTGGACAAAAGGTCTATGGCTAGTTTGGCTACTAGCATCTCTCTCTTAAAAAAAATTGTAGCTCCATTGAGTATTTTGTATAGCATAATGTGTCATAATCATTTTGCTTGTATTTGAAGTAAATATCCATATAAATTTATATTCTATTTGTGTGCCAAACAATCATCTAGTTGGACATGCTTGCAGAAAAAGGAAAATGGAAAACGAAGGAAAGAGGATCATAATTCAGCAAGGAAAAGTAAAGACAGAAGGGTATTTTGTTTCTTTTTCCGCTGAATCTTCATGCTAGTACAAATCATATGTGCAATGTACTTCTACAATGCTTTATATTTCATAATTGTTCCTTGAAGTATGTCTTAGAAGAAAGTTTTTCCCTATGATCGTTTCTTGGACAAAATTGCCTAGACTGTTTGGTAACTTTAGTGGTTTATTATTCTCTCTTTGAATTCTGAATCAGTTTTCTGTGGTCACTGAGCTATTATTACCTGTGATTGAATATAGCATGTTTTTTCTTTCTTGACGTGACAATTGCTTCAAATGTATACATATTTCGCACACCACTCCTGTGATCGTTACATGGCTCATCATGCTCCATTTCACATGCATATTGAAATTCCTGAAATAAGGGTGTGCCTGAAAAGATTCCAGCAGGAGGCAACCAGATAATAAATCAAGGTTAAATAACTAGGTGGTCTATATAACACAATTATTGTCCACTGTGCCTCAGGTATTAACTATCAGATAAATAAAGCATGAAGTCTGAGGCTTAACTAGATATGGTTAAAAATTGAAACTTGTGCAGAGAAGGGCTACTTCATAGCACGTTCAACCTAGATAGATAGATAGATCTTTTTCATGAGATTCCACACTAAATCTTTTGAGGTTTTTAAAGAAGTTTCTTGATTGTTTTGTGTGTTTTTCTGCATGCTTTAACTTATTGTTCTTTAGTTAAGCTGGTAATGGGGTGGGAGCGGGAGTGCTCCACCTTCCCATTAAAAGTTTTCTCAGCCCTCTTGGTTGTGCATTTCATCTGTTTGCATCATGGTTTGTTTCTTAGGTAGGTTACTGAAGTTTTTGAAACCTCAAGTGTGTAAAGAAATTGTTTCACAGGAAAAGGGTACAGACTCTTCGGCAATGTCTACGCCTCATTTAACAGCTCAGCCTAATGGTCCTGCATATGCTGTACCAATGATCCCTGTGGACAACGATGATGGCATCCCATATGAAGGTTTGGTTTGGTTGACATTAGGGTTGGCTTTAGTGTTTTTGCTAATATAAAAAAGGGTGAAGTACACAAATGGTCCCCTGGCTATAAGGTACTACTTTGTTGAGTTCACTGACTATTATAAGTTACAAAATTGTCCTCCGACCATAGGGAATGCTTTGTTATGTCCCCCGAGTACTACAAGTTACAAAATGGTCACCCTACTATTTATATGCTCCAAATTTGTCATTTCTTTAAAAAATTGGCGATCATCTGAGATGGGCCTTAACATGCTGACTGAGATATGATAGTTGTTTGAGATTCTGGGATCAAATTTTATCACATCTCATTCAGTATGTTAACGTCCAGCTCAGACTATGTCAATTTTTTAATGGAAAAATGATGAATTTGGAACATATGCATAGTCGGTGACCATTTTGTAACTTTTAATAGTCGGGGGACTCAACAAAGTAATACCCTATAGTTGGAGGACCATTTTGTAACTTTTAATAGTCGGGACTCAATAAAGCAACGCCCTATAGTCGGGGTTCATTTGTGTACTTTACTCTATAAAAAATTCAGCTGGGTAGAAACATTGAGCCGAACTCTTTACGCTCAATCAACATAAAAAAGCCTTGTTTTTCTATTAAAAATTTATTAATTTTGATCAAGCTTAAACTGTGCTGTAGCGATAGCATGGACATCAATTCTTTGCAGCTGACAAGGGTTGGTGACCACATTGAGCCTAAACCTTAAGGGTTTAAGAATTACTAACTGATTTTGTTTTAGAAAAAATGAAGATACGAGTTAAGAGTGAACCATATTTGAGATGCCAATATAGTTAATTTGCTTTCTCTACACTTTTTTTCCTTAAAAGAATTTGGACTTTCTTTTCAGCCATTGGTGGTGTGACAGGAGAGCTGTTTGAACAAAACGCTCAAATGTTTAATCAGATTTCTTCAAATTTCGCAGCTTTCCAGGTGAAGCCTATAGATTCAAACTTACCTTAAATTTTCCTCCATAATTTTGCATAAGAAATTCTTCTGAGCAATATTTTCAGTCATTGTTGGTTTTGATTGAAAGTGGCAACAGGATAAAATGATGGAATGAGAGGAAAGGAAAGAAAAAAAAAATGAAACCGACTTACAGAAATGAACTTAATCCCCTAGTAGCTAATGGCTGCTTTATTGATTGGTGTTATTACTATTTGTTTTCCATGCAGGTACATGATAATATAAATCTCTTATGCAAGGCGCGGGACAATATACTCACGATCATGAATGAGTAAGTTATTATCTTTATTGTTTGATTTCGAGATTCTTTAATAAGCTTTTTAATTGTTGATAGGACTTCATCATAATTGCGTTTTTATCACACGAGTGCAAGTTTATAAACACTCGTATATGGAAATGGGATAAAATTCTCTCTTTAGAGTATTTTTAGTTGTTTCAACTCCCCAGCTTCTTTTTGGTAGTTATTTTGCTTTACTGTGCATGTTACTTTATCATTATGCATTGGTAAAACTTATTTACCTATCGTTAAAAGAGTAGCTGTTTTTCACCTTGTAATGTGCTAAAGTTATATATCACCTGATGCTGATGCAAGATAGATTTGTCTTGTCATCTAGTTATCAAGCCACGGTTATCACCCTTAGTTATGTTTTTGCTGAGCAAAATTGATTGCTACTGATGTATGGATATTCAGATTTATCGTTATGTGAAGATTCGGAAACCAAAATTGATCAGCATATCAAATATTTAGCCTTTCCCATCTAGATGTCTAAATGCCTGTGTCATTGACTCATTGTCATTAATATCTTGGATTCATGGTCCCCCAGAAGTCAAGTACATGGAACGATTTACTGGATTTAAAATAAAATTGCATGAGCAAAATAGCTAGACCTGTCTAAGGACTGGGTTAACCGCCCAACCCAATAGGTTTGGACGAGATGTTGCTAGGGGTGTTCATAGTTCGGTTTTAACCGAATTAACCGACTGAACCGAAGTTTTTTTTTCTTCGTTTAATCGGTTATTAACGATTAATGATTTTTTCAAATTTTGGTCATCGGTTAGTTCAGGTCGAAATCGGTTAACTAACCGAATTAACCGAAATTATTAAATATTTAACATATTATATATATTATTTACATATTACTTAGGCTTAGGAGTGCTTAAACTTCGGTTTCGACCGAATTAACCGAAAATATTAAATATTTAATATATATTATTTATAAATTTCGGTTCGGTTCGGTTTGGTTAAAAATTTTCGAAAAAAAATTAGTTCAGCTAACGGTTTAAAGGGAAAAAATCAGGTAATGAATTTTTGGTAATTTGGTTTGCTCGGTTAATCAAACCGACTGATCGAACACCCCTAGATGTTTCTCTAATTTTACCAGGTTCGGCCTGACCTGAATCAAAATTTTAATGAAAATACTAATACTTTGTTGAACTTTATTATAAAATATTTATTATTTTATTATTGTTTAATATTAGAATTGGTTTTTCAGGCCGGGTCAGGTTTGGCCCTTATGATCTTAGGTAAAATATTTGAAAAATTTCTGAGCCGCAGCTCGACCTGTGAACACCTCTAGCAATAGCCATTAGAGTGATCAATTTTCCCCCTATGTCGAATGGCTGAATTAGAGTGAAATCTGATCCTTGGCTCTTATTTTGGTTGACACCTACTGGGTCTGAAACTGCATAGATGATTGGTTATTGGAACAAGGATGATGATGATGATGAATCTCACTCATTAATAACCATGTGTCTCCATTTCTTCCCATCTTAATCTCCCTATGTTCGGTGGAGACCGAAGAGGAATGTCGAGTAAAGATGATCCTGTTGTAGCTTCCTTATTTGATAGAGGAGGATAAAAATTTCCATCCTTCATGAATGCATCGTTTATCATCGTATTCCTATCGTGTAAATCTTTAACGTCGATGATTCTTTTTCTTGTGTTTTTTCTCCAGTTTGAATGACCTGCCGGAGGTAATGAAGCAAATGCCTCCGCTTCCGGTCAAGGTAAACGAAGAACTTGCCAACAACATCCTCAGTCATTCATCGCATCAGATGAAATCGTGATTCGGGGGGAATTACCGTATCCAACCATTTGTCTCGGAGTAAAATCTGAAAAATAAGGTTAAAAAAACTGGTTAAAGTAGCTTTCCTTGTGTCCCCCCCCCCCAAATGATTTACCCCTCTGCTAAAGTTTGGATTAATTTTAGGAACTATTAGTCAATGTAGCATGTGAATATTTAGTCCCTTCTGCATTGTCATTGCTTATATTTGTCCCTCAAACGAACGTAGCATCGTCATTGTTATGTGTCGAACACGAGTACGTCGAACCTCGTGCGGCAGGAAAGTTCACCACTGGTTCTAGAACAAGATGTTATATTGGCATGGTTGAGTTCATATCATGGAAATATTTAAGGCAATTACCAAAAATGCAATATTTCCCCCAATAAATTAGATTTTTTTTGAATTAATCCTGGTATTCGATATTGATCGACTAATCTAGATCGGGTATTGCAGAGGCGACCCTCTCAATCCAATTTGCTCCATTCGTAAACGTTAGGATTCAAATCCCTGACCTTACTTAAGAGACTCAATGTCTTATCCTATTAGACCAACTGGTTGTTGGTCCCATTAGATTAGACTTTAAGTCCAAAGATTAAGTTATCTTTTAAGCAGGTACTCTAAATAGAGATGGTCTAACCTGAATTTTATTGACATGATATCAATTCAACAAGCCAAAAATCGTTTGAAGTACTTTCTTGATTTTCATATTTCTTTAGTTCAGTGTTCTTGCAATGTGGTTAGTGATTGTTTAGCTAAATGGACTTTTCTTTCTTTGTCTTCATTTTTTTTTGACTCAATTTTTTCAAAGATTATTTCTTTGAAGGTATTGAACGATGTGCATTTTATTTAATTCAATATAGCTCGACTTCGTGGGACCAACACTTTGTGTTGGGTAGGAGGGATTTTTAACGAGGCTCGTTATCTTTAAAAAATAATTTTAAAGGAAAAAATATGATTAACATGTAATTAATATAATTATTATATCAAACTTATATTTTAAAATAATTTTCGTAAGTATAGTATTTATTAATATAAAAAAATAATATTGTGGACAAATATATTATTTTTCAATATATAAGATCTATCTTTTAATAACTCAGTTTTTTGACTGGATGTTGGTCCTATTAGATTAGACTTTAAGTCCAAGGATTAAGTTATCTTTTAAGCAAGTACTCTATAAATAGAGATGGTCTAACCTGGATTTTATTGACATGATATCAATGCATATGAGTGACACAAAACTAATATAGTATGAAAAGGCCTCAAAATTTATATAAAATATGATTTTGGTACAAGTTGACATGTTTTCATAAGTGGTTAGCACCAAGTCCTTTTTGTTTCAGGTAATTTATTTTATGAAAAATATTTTCCCCATTTTTTTTATGTTTGGTTGATTTAGTACAGGATGGTTAATGTAATTTATTTTTATAGTTGACATATTTTTTTACGTTTTTTATAAAATGTTTTATTATCTATTTTTTATTTCTTCATTTTTTTTTATGTTTGGTTGATTTAGTACAGGATGGTTAATGTAATTTATTTTTATAGTTGACATATTTTTTTACGTTTTTTATAAAATGTTTTATTATCTATTTTTTTATTTTCTTCATTTTTTTATGTTTGGTTGATTTAGTACAAGATGGTTAATGTAATTTTAGACAATAATATGTAATTTACTAGTGTTTTTTTTTAACATAATTAATAACTTGAGACAAATAAAGCAACGAATTAATCTTCATGAGACAAAACGTCCCGAAAAATATTCAACTCAATAAAAAATGCATAGTTTTAGACAATGATGCTTTTAAGCCGAACCAAAAAGAATCGAACTTATTTAATTAGTAAAATGATGAACTGTGATTTGCATGTTCAATTCCAAATTCATCTGTGCTTAAGCTTAAATTCGAACCATAATTACAATAATAATATTACTCATTCACCGAAACAGTACATAATTTATTATTGCCCCCCGTAAATTTAGATATTTTTTATACGACTCCAAACCCATTCAACCTGCTTAATAGCTAGAGCATGGTTTTAAATCTAGTTCGCGATCACGTTTTCGGTCACGTCGCGTTTATTACGATTGCGAATATGATGCTATTGTTGTCATTGCGGATATCGCAATCGTGAATTTTTTTCAAATGAGCTGATTTTTTTTAATAAAAAATTAAAATAACTTAATAATAGTGGAATAACAGTCCACTATTGCCGCGATTGGCCACGATCCGCCACTATTGGTGTGATCCCACTTCACACCGTTATTTTCCGCGATTGAACGGCTATTCGGCCGCTATTTGAACCCTGAGCTAGAGTACAACTGCCACGTTTAAACCATTATTTAAAGGTAAAATAATAATAGGAAAACAAAAGCTTATTTATTTTGGGAGTTGAGGTTGTTAATTTAGCAAAACAAGAACAATAAATACATATCTAAGCAGCAGACTCGTTACCATGGAATACGAAACAAGGTGAAATTTTTCATGAAGCTGTTTTTCTAAGAGTAATGTGTTTTACCCAACACAGTCAAGTTTGAATCCGTGAGCAGTTCAAGTCCCTTTCCCTTGTTGAATTTGTTGAAGAAGAGCTGCTGCCAGCTGTAATGTCGCTTGCAAGCGTTTCTGTGGGTCGCCTTCGCCTTCCTCCGGTATGCCTGTACCGTGTGGTTGCTGACTTGTTTGAGTCGCTCGGGACATTGCAGCAGCCGAATTCGATGCCTGCTGCTGTGACAACTGTTGCAGTTGAGAAAACTGAGATGTTGAAAGATCCGTAACAGCCTGGTTACTTTGTAAACCGAAACCGTGTGGTTGTCTCGCCAAGTTGGAGTGGTCCATTGTGCTTGTGTGCCGGAAATTCTCCCCCATCGATGCATCTGCAGCACTCCCAACCTGTCCTTGCTGACCGATAAGAGATGATGCTAGTTGTGCTAGTTGTTCTGGTTGAAGGGCACTAACCGGCATAGACGAAGATTTGAATTCAGGCAGAGAGGGGTTGCTATTTCCAGAAAATGGAATCCCGGAACTTCCACCTGTACTAGAGTATGTTTCTTGCGCTGCTCTCGGCATAATTGATTGATGCCCCGGAATTGCTGGATCAAAGCCAGAAACTTGGGGTGCATTTCTGTTGATGGAAACCGGATGCTGCTGATCGTGAGAAGACCAACCTGGTCCATACATTGCGTTTTGCTGGGGTGCGTAATCATGCCTATGCTCATTATACAAGTCTGATACATTTCCGACGGAATGAGCAGACCCGGAAAGTGAAACAGGAGGAGCTGCTGTTGCCCCATTCCCTGGATGGGAGATGCCTTTAATTCCTTGCCTACTGAATTCTGGATAAGTCAGAGACGGAAAAGAACCTGAAGTCATTGATGGCTTTGCATAAGATGTGTCACCATGAATTGGCAATAGGTTTGAATCGCTTCTTTCGCTTGGATGAGCAGAATCAATGGAACCAGAGTGATCTAATCTCAAAATAACACCTGAAATGCTCAGTTTCCCAGGCACTTTCAGTATTTTCTCGGAAAAATCCGATGGTGGTACAAGAAATAAAGTGGTTACATCGTCTAATTTAGCAATAGCCGCTCGCTGCTTCTCTCCCAGGTAATTCATGAATTCGTTATAGAATCCCATGTCAGCATCATTTTCCGGAACGAAGAAAACAACCCAAGCACCAGATGCTTGATAATAATGCTTTGCAAGCATGTCTAAACCAGTCCTAGCTGTGCAATCTAAGAATTCAGGCCTGCAGCATCAAGGTAGGGCTAATAAGTTATCTGTACAAGTCCGAAGGATGGGGGTAAATGGAAATGATGCTATCGGAAAAACTATGTCAGAGAAAGGACATTTTCCTACTTACAGTGCCATGTCGAGGACTTTTCCAACAGGAAAGCAGCGAGCACGACATACTGGTGTTCCACCCTTGGCTATTGTCCCCTCCCATTTCCACTCTTTAATTGATGGCTGATCCAGCTCCCGAGTGAATCTTTTCTTCTCAACTATATTTGATTGTATAGAACCAGAACCTTCAGGAAAACCATCATAAGATGGTTTCCAGTGACCGTTCCTTTCTCCACGAGTTGGAGTAAAACTCGTTGGCCGATCAGGAATTTGTTTATACCCTAAAGATGCAGGCTCAAAGTTCTTACCAAAGGCTTCAGGTTGAGGAATATCAGAGAGCATCCTTGGAAAAACATGTTTTTCTTGTTCAAGATCAGATAAAGAGTATTCTGGCAACTCTTTCTCGGGAGGAAAGGAAACGGTTCTCATTTTCTTGGTTCCATGCACCGGATAGTCGTCTTCAGGCATATCCCAAGGTTCTTCAGGGAATGCATTTTTCTGAGGTAATTTTGGAGGAAAATCATGGTACCTCGTTGGACTTTTACTATGCTCATACATATCTTGGGGTACTCGAGGATCAGGTTCCCCATCTCCATACCTCCAGGGTTCATATGTATTTTCACCAGTCCATGAACTACCTTTCCTCTTGAAACTATAGACATCACTATCACCGGCATCGTAATTTGACATATAAGGAGATCCGATGCTTGCATCTTCTGGTAAGTCCACAAAACTCCTGTTGCGCAGAAAGTTCTCAGAAGACCCCAAGCGACCATTCGACCTGAAGCGAGGAGAGCTGGGGGCATTCACTGAGCCCCTTCCACTGGTGGATGACCCACCATCACTTTTTGCAAAACAAATATGCACACGGGGATTACCAAATAGCTTCCCCTGAAGAGTTTCTTTTGCCCTGCAAGCTGACGATAAACGCCTAAAACGAACAAAAGCGTAACTACGTCCTGGAAACACAGTAATCTTCTCTATCTCACCGAATGGGGAGAAAGCCTTTCTCAAAATCATTTCATTCACTTTCAATGAAGCTGGAAATCCTATCCATAGGACCTCACTGGGATCTCCACTTCTATCATTCCCCTTTGATCTGTCAAGGGTAAAACGTTCAGGACTAGCACGACGTGCTCTATTGTCCCTTGGAGAGAAAGGTGACCCTCTTACTTTAGAGCGTTGATCATCTCTACATTGCCAGTAGTCCTCATCACGTGATGGTGTTGATGACTTATCCTGTAATTAAGAACATCACCAGCTAAGGGGAAAACTGATCCTCACAAAAGCAATCTTATATAATTTTTAATCTAGATTGGTAAATTTTCAAACTAAAAAAAAGGTTGAGAATTCGAGCGGATGGATATGGAGAAAGAAATTAAATTGTGCATCTGTAATAGTACAGGCACACCTAACCATTTCCTGTAGTAGCCACACTATAGACATGAACTATGAGTCAAATGCTCTATAGAATAATTCCAGGGATTCGTAAACATCATATTAATTTTTTTTCCACTCTCATGAACTAATAGTGTTTCATTGTCGAAGGATCAACTACATATGACCTCCAAAAACAATAATAACCAAGCCTCTATGAACTTTCACAAAACTTGATGGGAGGAAATTTATTTTCTTGATTAGCACTTGCTTCTATTCACTCACATGCATACTCCAAATCTCCTAATAAATAATACAAAAGCAACTAAACTTTTATCATGCAGGCCCTAGTACAGAACTGTGATGCCCACAGTGCTCAGAGTATGGGTTAAAAACATTAATAAGCTAACAACACTTCCCTTTACACAGAAAGCACACCTCCCTGATCTAACAAACAAAATATTGGTACACCCATATACATATCTCATCATAAGTGAAAAATTATGCCATGCATTCACAGCACAGTAACACATGTAATTGCATCGTAAACTGGGGGTCAGTCACAAGCACAACTACACCTTAATGTTTATTGAGAAGATTAACAAAAAAACATATAAACCATGTGCAACTGAGGGATGCATCATCATAAGTGGAAAACATCAATCTTGTAAAAATAGATAGGTTTTCATAACTTCTTACTAAATGTGATCACTGAGATTTGCAGAAAAGCAAGTCAATAATAGTTCCCATGTCTAATCCTGTAAGCCTTGGTCAAAGAACTCATATCACAAGATATTTTCATAATGGAGTTTTGAGTTTAAATATAGAAAGCAATGGCTGCCAGCGGTACAGGACTACCTAGAACTTCTACAACCAGAAACAAAGAGATACAGATTTAAAGCAATCGGACACTAAAGCTTGCTTGATTTTTTTATGCCATCCTGGCTTTGTTGTTCTTTTTCGCAGAATTGAATCTTGAAAAATGTAGTAAGATAATAATTATGACATTAGGGATCATTTCAGCACTGAAAGCTACTTTTCAGTCATTCTTCGCAATCAACAATTTGAACTTAGACTACGGGATTAACAGTGTGTCTGGTATCCAGAGGCATATCAACAGCACAAGGAAGACAGGGTACATGTCTATATCTCATGTTCCATGATGCACTGAGTTGAGAGTAATTCTGGATTTAGGCTGTTCCGGCTCATATGGAAACAATTTAGAGAAAATACAGATAAGGGCCCTGAAAGCTAGCTATCACATCTGATAGCATTTGAGAAACATGTTGCTTTCCAAATTTGGCTACCTTAAGTTACTTATATTGTGAAAAAAATAGATTTTTGGAGACTTTGTAGATTATAATGGAAATTTTATGGCTCTTTTTGCTATAGATTGTGCAATCTGCTCCAAAGTTACTACTATAAATTTATCATAAATCAATGACAATGATCTTCCTTCTACAGCTTACCACTTCCACTACAGTGCATGTACGTTTTTGAAATTTCAACTTAGAACGGTGCTTCTATTCAAAATCCGGTAATCATCAATTCAGGTCATTTTCCTCCATTTCTTTTTGTTCCATCATTCCTGTGGCCCCTGAATCTTGTTAACGTTACATTATCATCAGTTATTCACTCATGCTTGAATGCAAACCATGGTATGCTTCAAGATACCAGCAGACATGGGAGTATTCTAGATCGTATAGCACAAAAAGGGCCTAGAATACTTATTAGAGAAACAACCTACTTAACCCAAAAACCTACGTTTATTTCAAGTGTCTGCAGGCGTGAGCATCTCCATGGAACATGGAGTTGAGGAATATTTCATTATGCAATAAAAAACGCTGTGTCTTGGGTAGTTCTCTAACTTTTCATGAAGAAAAATTTGTCAGATAGATGTACAGGATACAATTCCAGTATCAATAGCATTGATGATGACACTGGTACGTACACTGTTCTAGGTCAATAAACTTTAACCATCATATTCAACAGTTTAAACTTCAAAAGCTGTTTTCCCATGATGATTAAGTGCAAGGAATCGATCTAAATAGTATGGCAGCAAACATCTATTCATAGTACCTGTTTTGCTTGGCAATATCATGAAAGAATTGCACAATATGGCAACAGATTCACTTGCGAACTCGTTTCCATTCAAGTTACAATCGCATGAATAATACACCAATTAACTGGTCTGAAATTGATGAAGTTAACAGCTAATCAACTTTTTAAAGTCGCTAGAAGCTATAATCTGACATCATACGGATTGAAACTGTGCAATTTATGCTGAGTGCTTGGAATGAATAGAGAAAATAACAAAGCAAGGAAGAGAGCTTATTGACAAAATAACGCATCCCTTGTCATGGAGAACCCCTCCTTGAGTTTTATGGTTAAGCAAATATCTTTTGAAATCTGAGTGGTGCAGTGGGAGTGAATAGCACGATTTCAAAAGCAACATCATGGATGAAAATGCATTCAACACGTTGAAATTATACGAGTGGCCAATCATGGATGGAAATATTTTACTCTTCTTTTTTCTTTTTTATATGATTATTCTTGACATAATTGAGTATGAACTCAATCAGGCGAGTGGGCGGAAGAAACTAATTACCAGACAAGAAAAGGTTTATAGGCTGTTTATGTAGTTGGGAAGACCACCCTAAACCTTATCAAACATCTTAACGCTAGGTGCTTTGGTTATTATAAGTTGTTATTTAAGGCAAACTTTGCAGATGAAATGGTGATATGGTGGAGGATATTAGATACTTAAAGTTGCTGGTATAGGGAGGAATAAACAAATAAAAATGAGCTTACTCACAAAGAACTATATAATTCAAGTGAAATAGAATCTTTATTATGATGTCCCCCCATATTCCTGATATGATATTAGTTGTTATGGAATGAATCCCCGAGAATATAAACATTTGAGGTAATTTGGGTTGTGGACCTATTATTTTTCCTTTGTTACTAAAACAAGTTGAACTTTTGGGATTAAGACAGAAGCTTTTTGCTTTACTTTTTTTGTTTCCGGAATAAGTTATGCAAGCAGCTAAAATAATTGCAATCAAACAGGGCCTTAAAGCAAAGCCAAGATGATATTCATCTTTCCCATTTCTACCTTAATTTCAACTTCTCTTTCGTTTTTCATGTGGTTGAGTTATGTCTATTTTTTAAGATCTTGATTCTTTAACTTATTTTGACTTCCCTGCCAAACATCAGCTACTAAACACACAAATTTTGGAGATTCAATCAAATTTAAATTAATTCCAGAAAAAAACAAGTAATATTAGTAATGGTTCAAGACTAACCGCCTTGGCAAACTCAATCCTAAGCGGATTCCCCGCAACGGGGAAACCTTGGAGCTCCCTCGTGGCGGAAATAGCTTCTTCATCGTTCATAAAATTAATAAAAGCGTAGCTTCGACCAGGCTGGAATGCCACGCTCTCTAGCTCCCCAAACTGCAAGAAGTGGTCTGTGAGGTCCGGCTCTAGTATACTGTGCGATAGATTCCCCACCCAAAGGTGTCTCGACGGCGGCGCGTTACTCCGACTCGAGCTTCCCGACGGCGGATGGTCACGCCGCGATCTGTCCCTGCCTCCGCGGCCAGACTGAAAGCAATTCATTAGAATAACAAAACGATGACAGATTATGTAAGCGAAATATATGAGAAAGGAGATTAAATTGCAGTTGAAAGATAACTGACCATGGCGGGTTTTCTGAAGAATTTATTTAGGGGTTTCCCCCTTCTCAGATCGATTTAGGGTTTGAAGATCAATAAAGGTGGTTCTGTCTAAGCACGGAATGGAATGTCTTGTTCATCGTCTTCTTTTCTAAGAGTTAATTGTATCATACATCTTTAAATTATAGCGTCTATTTATGTTAACCTCTAAATGTTTGAATATTTCAATTTCATCCCCAAAATTATAACTTCTATTTTAAACTATTCTTTAAATGTTTGAATATTTCAATTTCATCTCCAAGTGACGAATCTCGTTCTAAATTATTCCTTAAGCTTTTAAACATATCAGTTTTATCTGAAACTATCAGTGTATGCTAATCACATCCATTGTTAATAAAATCATTAGGCCAAGCTATATTATTATGTGTTTGAGAAAGAAAAAGTTGAACTATGGTTGAAACTAATCATATATTTGGATGAATTTGTGGGTGAAATTAAATAATTCAAATTTTTGAAGATCAATTTTGAATGATGTTCACAGTTTAAAGATGAAATTAAAACATTCAAAAATTTAAGAGCAAATTTAGAATGTGTCATAATTTAGGAAGGAAACTAGAATATTAAAATATATTAAGACTAATTTTGGAAAGGAAGTTATAATGTGAGATGTTTGATGCAATTAATTTTTGAGTTAATTGCATCACATGTCCTCAATCCATGACCCTCATTTTAAATTGATCCTTAAACTTTAAATGTTCCAAATTCACCCCAAAACTTAACTATCATTTTATATTAGTCGTCAAACTTTTGAACATTTCAATTCCATCTCCAAACTACCTTAGTTCTAAATTGACCCATACAATTTTTTAACATCCCAAAATATATGTATATATGAATCACATCCCTTGTTAACAAAATAGTTAGGTCAAGTTATATTATTATATGTTTGAAAAAAAACAAATTTAGGTTAAACTATGGTTAAAACTAATTATATATTTGGATGAAATTGGAATATTCAAAGGTTTGAAGACCATTTTAGAAAGTGTGTCATAGTTTATAGATGGAATTAGAATGTTCAAAAGTTTAATTTAGAATGAAAGTCATAGTTTGGGGATGAAATTAGAATTTTCAAATATTTAAGGACTAATTTAAAATGTTAATTATAATCTAAGTATATATGATGCAATTAACTCTTAAATTTTTTTAATTTAGATTTTGGATTTACATTAAAATAAGGTTAAACTACGTCTTGATCTTCTAAAAAAAACCTTAATTATAATTTTGAATAATGATATTTTTATCATTTTTCAATGGACACCACATTAAATATATTGTAAAAATATATGTATGAAATGTCATATTATCATTTCTACAATTACAATGAACAATTGATAAAAATATATTTACAATAAACAAATAATACACATTTTTTTATGAAAATAGAAGTTGGTGGTTTTATTAATAAGTGCGGCAAATATCCAAAATTACAATGAAGATCTACAACCATATAATCAGGACATTGTCTATAAAGCCACTTGAGATCATACAATGAAAAATGTTAAAACTTATCGAAAAAAACTTGAACATAATATAAACACGAACATGTTTGATTGCATCAACAAATGAACCATAACATTGGATCAAACTATTAAAAGACCACCAAAAATTACAAATCAAAGTCGAGCATCGTAAGAAAACAAACTATCTCCTAACACAAATCACATATCTAAATCCAATTTGAGGATCCAAAACAAGAAAGATCAACATGACAAATAATTGTAATCTTAATAAGTCGACGGGACATCAAATCTAACCGTGAGAAAATTAAATAAAGAAACGTCCAAACAACCGATAAAGAAGACCAACAATGTGTTAAAAGACAAAAGAAAACATGTCTTAAAGGTATAGTAAATCATCTCATAAAGACATATGAAAACGTTCCATAAAACAATTATTAGAAACTAAAAAAATAAAAGAAAAAATATATAAAAACAAAAGAAAAACAAAAATGAAATATAAAATAATAAATAATAATAATAATAAATATCAACATCGATAATTAATACTAAACCCGATATCGTTACCAATAAAAAAATGAAAGGAAGGTACAAACTAAGCTAAGATTAAGATAAAACTAGGATCATTTTAGCACCCTAACAATCACAACACATCTATTCAAGTACAAATAATTTGACCAATATAATATGTAAAATGATTATAATTACAATTAATACATTTATATAATTATGATAAAAAAAATTCAGATTCATAACATTTATACAAATAAAGTAATAATGAGTAAAATATATAAATGCTCTCCTGACTATAAGTGTTGCTTTATTAAGTCCTATAACTATTAAAAGTTACAAAATATAAGGACTTTTTTAACTATTAAAGTACAAAATGGTCACCGACTATTCATTGTGTTCTAAACTCGTGCTTTCTGTTAAAAATTGATGGCAGCTTGAGTTTGACGTTAACATGACTAAGATATGATATAATATGATCTTAGAATCTCAAACAACTATCATATATCAGTCAACAGGTTAACGTCTAACTCAAATTACCATCAATTTTTTAACAAAAAAAACAATGTCCTATAGCCAAGGGACCTGTTTGTAACTTTTAATAGTGGGGACTTAATAAACAATACTCTATAGTCGTAGACCATTTATGCACTTTACCCTCAAATATCGAACTATATTAAATCTAAACTATAATGAATTTGGATAAAACTCAATATAAAGAGACTTAAACAGTAATATTTTTTCCCTTCAAATTCTATTATTTTTGTGATGTATAATTGTATGTAGTAAACTCCCTTTATTAGCTTACAACCACTAGAATGGAGATTTTTCCTCCATGGAAACACAAACTTTCCTGCTTCTTTCCCCTCCATTCCATCTGTTTTACCGGCAACCAAACACCCCTTCAAAGTTCAATCTCCGGCCACACCATTCTCTTCTTCTTCTTTCTCCATTAGATCAAACTCTGCTGGTTTTGCTTTCAACCTCAAACGTAACCTCTACTTCTTATTTCCCATGATCAGTCCTGGGAAACCATCTTTTAGGGTTATAAGAGATTGGATAATGGAACCCATTTGAATGTAAAGAAAAAGAATCGATGGCGTCGTTTCATCTCCCCATGAGAGCCCAATCAGCTCGGAGCTCCATCGTGTACGCCGAGAGAGTAACGGAGGAACCGCCGCACAGTCAGAGCAGCAACAAGAACTCGCAGACCACCGTCACGTTGATGTACCAGACGAACATGGCCGGCTACTGGCGGAGCGTGACGATCATCTGGTGCAAGAACGTCATGAATTATTCTCTCAACATCATGGTGAACAACGACGAGGGAGATCACAGCGTGCATTCCACGTGCAAGATCGAGCTCAGACCATGGCATTTTTGGAGCAGAAAAGGCTACAAATCGTTTGAGGTTGAAGACAAACAAGTTGACGTTTATTGGGATATCCGATCAGTTAAATTCACGACCGGCCCTGAACCGGTTTCCGATTGCTACGTCGCCTTAATATCCGACGAAGAAGTCGTTTAATTACTCGGAGATCACCGGAAAAAGGCTTACAAAAGAACCAAATCCAGACCGGCTCTGGTCGAACCGGTTTTATTTTACAAAAAAGAAAACGTATTCGCCAAGAAAAGCTCTGGGACCCGGGCCAAATTCGACGAAAAGAAGAAGAAACACGACATCGTGGTCGAGAGTTCGACGATCGGTTTAAAAGAACCGGAGATGTGGATAAGCATGGAGATGTGGATAAGCATGGATATGGTGGTTTTGATCCACGTGAAGAATTTGCAGTGGGAATTTTTTCTTAACTTTTTCACTCCAAAGTGTAAGCAATCAAAATAATATTATTTTATTTATTAATATTATTTATTATAATATTTTAACATTATTTAATGAAAATATTATTATTAAAATAATTAATATATATAATATAATTTTAATAATATTAAATTTTTAATATTATATTAATATATACTCAATTATATTATACTAATATATGATATTTTATTTTTTAAAATTTAATAATATATAATAAATTATTAATGTTATTTTTCATTTTATAAAATATTAAAATTATTAATAATGAGTAATATTATTTTATATATTTAATTTTAATATTAATATAATACTGATCGAATCAAGCGACTTTGATGGTAAAGAAATTGTTGTTATTCTTTGAGGTCCTAGGTGATAAAATAGTAATTTATTATATTTATATTTATAATGAAAATCTATCAACTAGAAATGATTTACATAACATCGTCTAAACACTATAAAATATTTTTTAGAAATGTTTTCTGATAATTCATTTTATGTAAATCAATTTTAAGGTAATTCAATTTATGTAAACCATTTTCACAAAATTAATTACAATGTGTCAAACAAGTGAAAAATGATTTGCACAATATCATCAAAACATCGTAAAATAATTTTCAGAAACTATTTTTTTAGAAAATATAATTCAATTTACGTAAAATAGTTTTTAGGTAATTCATTTTACGTAAATCATTTTTTTCAAAAAAATTAATTACAATCTTTCAAATGGACCCAATATGCAGTTCTAATTTCTCAAGATAAAGTTCATAAATGACTGTCAAAAATATTTTTTTGGACATAAAATTTTAAAAGTTATATTATGAGTATTAACTTTGATTTTTTTTATAAAATGAATATAATGTCATTATTTTTAGATAAAGGGTATCATGTTATTAACTACCATTAAATGAGTAACATGTCATGCTAATAAATTATTGAAAAATATCTATTTGATCTATCGATTGTAATTAAAATTTCAATTTGAGATATATATATATATATTTCTAACTAATAATTTTAAAAATTAAAATTTTAAAAATATATGAAAATTCATAATTTTTTTAATTAAGTAGAGTTTTTACATTTTTAAGAAAAATGTTGAGATATGAATCCACAAAGGAGACAACATGAACATCTTGACTACTCGACCAAATAATAGATCTCTCACAATTCAATTTTAAAATTATTTTTTAAAATTATAATTTTATGATTTTTTTTTTGTTTTCCCTAGTTCCAAGGCTTCACCCTCACTAATATGGATCGATTCGGGTCGCACACTTGACTTTGGTGGGTGAGTCTCCCAACGGAGATTTTTTGCATACACAATGACTCGAACTTGAAATCTTTGCTTAAGCATATCAAACTGCTTACCACTTGAACCAACCCGTTGATTATAATTTTAAGTATTTTTTAATTCATCAAATTATTTTATCTTTTTATTATTATTTAATTTTAATTAAATTTGTAAAATTTAAAATTTATAACTTTTGAGATTAAATAATTTCAATTATCAAAAAATAACATTAAATATAATTTAAAAACAATAGATGCTGTAAATTATAATATCATATTAATAAAAAATAAATCCAAACTTTAATAAAAAAAATAATTTTTAACTTTTAATAACATATCAAATAATTTATATTAGGTTACTGTGACAATAAAATTAGTATTTAATTTATTTATATCTAAAAACAATATTTTAATATTTTAATCATATTTTTAAGTTTAATCATGTGTTTATACAAAAAAACTAAAAACAAAAAAAGTTGTGAAGTTTAAGACTAATTGAAAAAGGAGTTAAGGACTAAATTGATAAGTTTTCAAATTCAAGGACTAAGAGTTAAGTTATACCAAATATGAAAATTGAAAGCATTTTAATCATGGGAGGGACCAAGTAAAAAGGGAGTGCCTGACTTTCCTTTAACGATTGAAAAGGACAAGGACCCACTTTTATCTTTTGCTTTCCAATTTTGCCCTTTACATTTGTTAAAATACTTTTTCTCCCCCTTGATTGTGTAATCATTTTCATTCTATTTCTCTCTGCAGTTTTCATCATCAGCGTATGTAAATTACATTTCCCGTAAAAGCACAACGATTTCCATTTCTCACACTTTCACAAACTCAAAATACAGAAAAATAAAATTTAGAAAAATTCAAAGATAGAGAGAGAGAGAGGAGAGATTCTGGAAATCACTCTGTTCCAGAGTTTCTCGTTGTAATTCATTGATTTTCTTATAAATTTTGAATTTCTGAGATCACTGCTAGTAACCGATCTTGTCATCATCTTCTTTGTTTTCACGGTAATTCTCTTTTATATCAGCTCTTAATCCGATTTCCCTTTCTGGGTCTCTTTTTTATTTTGATTTATCTCTGGGTTTAGATTTAGTTTTTTATGTTGGTATTTCTGGGTATCTTTGTTTGCGTAAGATCTTCTGTTTTCTTTTTACTGAATCTATTTGAGTGCGTGGGTAATTTTGTTCTGATTAGGGAGTTTAATCGTGTGAGTTAAGGTTATATTTTCTATTTGATTTATGATGAAAAAATTAGTTATTTGATTCTGGCATTTTCTTTTTCATTATTTGACATGTAAATGATTTTGCTCATGATTATTTTTCTAGGAATGCTTGTTCGATTGTCATTTGCTTTTTATTTGATGAAAATGATGTCGTCACTGCTGTAGTCGTCATGGATGACTTTAAGTGGGCGTTTGGTTCACGTAATAGAAGATTATTAGTGAAAATGTAAGATTAACAGGGAATATTATTACTGGAAATGTTATATTTTGTGTTTGGTTGGCAGGAACGTAAGATTATCGTGTTTGGTTAAAAAAAATAAAAGATTATTGGAATGTATATTTGACCAAAATGTCCTTATTATATATTTGTTTTTTTAACAAGTTGAAAAATATTTATATATTTTCTTTAAAAAATTTAAATTCATAAAATTTATAATTTTTATAAAATTGAAAATATAAAAATGTTTAATGAAATTTTAAAATTTTATTTTAATCCCTGAATTTCATATAAAATTTTAATTATAGAATTTTTTTTGTAAATCTAAAATAGTTTAAGGATAAATTTGTAATTTAACATTCGTAGAATTTTTATTATTTAATGACAGAAAAATGACATTTTAAAAAAATTAAGGGCATTTTAGTCCAAAACGCCGGGAATCCAACAATACCTAAGGAAATGGAGGTAATGATATTCCCGTAATATACCTTAAAAAAATACACTATTGGTAATCTTACATTACCGGGAATGAGATTCCTGGGCTAACCAAACGGGGGAATATGGATTCCATTCCCATGGGAATCCAACATTCCCCCATCCAAACACCCCCTAAGGGGTGTTTGGATCGAATGGAATCCACATTCTGGTTGGCTGGTAATCTCATTCTCGGTAATGTTTATTACCAATAGTAGATTTTTTGGGTATATTACCGAGAATGTCATTAACTACTTTCGTTATGTATTGTTGGATTACCGGCGTTTTGGATTATTTTAGATTTATAAAAAAAAGTTTATAATTAAAATTTATATGAAGTTCAGGGTTTAAATAAAATTACCATTTCATTAAACATTTTATATTTTCAATTTTGTAAAAAGAATATAAATTTTCGATAATTTTTTTTAAAAATATAAACATTAAAAATTATAAAAATATATATATATATATATATATAATAAGGATAATTTGTTCAAATATACATTCTAATAATCTTTTATTCCTTTAACCAAACACGGAAATCTTATATTCCTGGTAAACCAACCAAACACAAAATACAACATTCCCAGTAATCCTAATATTTGGTAATCTTACATTCCCAGGTAATTTTACATTCCGTGAACCAAACGCACCCTAAAAATTTGGTGTTTGTACGTTTGCACAATCAATAATAATTTTTTTTGTTTCTTTGCCCCCGGAGTGCTTGAAACTGTTTACCTTTTCGCTGAGATATGGAAAATATAAATGTTTATCCTTAATCAGTGCTGATTCATGTGACCACTTCCATGATACAGTGTCATCTACATTTTATCCTGTTGTTGTTTCATTAATTTATGGGCGAATTTGAAGTGAATGAAGCTATCCACATATGAGTGTTCAGTTGATGTTGTAATTTTCTCATTGGCTAGTTTGCTTTTAGATGAAAGTGAACTGAGTTCCCTTGTAACAACGACCTTTGTTTTCCCTTTATGTGCCAGTCTGGCAGGTATTGAAATGCGCAAAAAAATAGCAAAGCCGGGGATCATTAGAAAAGCTACTCGCCATGGTTTATATGGTTTCTGCTTATAGTCTGTTAAATTTTGGAGAGAAGTTTTAGGTTTTGTTGTGGAGTGCTCTGATTACAAACATGGGTTACAACTGCGATTTCTGTGCCCATCAAAGGCCGGTGGTATATTGCCGGTCCGATGCTGCCTGTTTATGTTTATCATGTGATCGAAATGTCCATTCTGCTAATGCACTGTCAAGACGCCATTCGAGAACACTATTATGTGAGAGATGCAATTCGCAACCTGCTTTTGTTAGATGCGCGGAGGAAAGGGTTTCCCTATGCAAGAACTGTGATTGGATATGTCATGGTACCTCTACCTCGAATTTGACACATAACAGGCAAACAATTAATAGTTACTCTGGTTGTCCATCATCCGCCGAACTTTCTTCCTTATGGCCATTCTTTTGGCAGTCCCCTTCACCGGCTGATTCTACTGGTGAGCAGGAAGTAGGTCTAATGAGCATCCCTGAGAATATGGAAAGGACTTCCTGGAGCCCTACAAGAAACACCATTAGCCAGAATCAGAATAATAATGGTGTTGCAGAAGTCAACAATGAAAATAATGCAGACATGGGAAGTGGTTGGGATGCCTCTTCTTCAATTCCGGAAATAAGATCACCACCACGAGCTCTAGATCAGCCAGCTGGATTAACTGATACGTCATTGCCCAAGGTAAATGATGAATTTGGAATATATTTATCATTAAAGAATCTAGATCAACTGTTATTAAGGTTCTTTCAGTCCCTTGCTATCCAAGTTTCATGGGACAGCATTAAAGAAATATGATTAAGCATTTTGATAAAGAGAGTCTATGTATGCAAATTTATTCTGCCGTTGCGCTTTATGTTGAAAAATATTAACATTGTGTGCTCAGGCCTCAGTGATAAATGCTCTTTCTGCATAGAACAAGCTTGAGGCTTAAGTGACAACATTTTCTTTAGATTAGTTCCTTCTGCACAAGGAATTTATGCCAATTGTTCCTTTCTTTCTTGATTGTGTTTTATAGTGGAAATCAAAGGATCATCTGAATTATCTCTTAGATCAACTTTACTTTTAGGTTGATATTGCAGAGAACAATTAATGAGGTCCTCAGAATATGATTACTTAATCAATAACCTCATCTTTATTATACAGCATCTTTGCCTATTTGTGACATGGGTTCCTAAATTTGGATCATATGCTAATGCTTCCTTTCTACTTGATTGTAGTTTTTCTTTTTTAAAATATATATGAGTTAGGATCCACTTACACATTTTAAAACATTTAAGTTTTACATGTTTTTTGGATCATTAGATTAACTGAGTTTAATGGATGAGATTATAGCTTTTAAATTTGAGGATAATCTACTTCCTTTTTATTGTTAATCTCAACCATCCATTTTTACTCATCCAATGATCCAAAAACACATGTAACACTACATCAACGGATTCTATCTATATATATTTATAATAGAGGGGAAAAGGCAGTTTAAAAGCAATTGACGCAAGAAATAGGGAAAGTGCAGTGAGATCATCTTGGAAGTCATCAAGAGTTCATTTTAATCATTAAAAGAGTGATTAGAATAATGTAATTCCATTTTGGGAACATTTGCTTATTTGCTTATTTTTGCTTTATTAAATTTGCAGTTATCTTTCCCTCCAACAAATCATCCTTCACTTTGTGAAAATGATCTCTGCGATGACTTCAACATGGATGACGTTGATCTGAACCTTGAAAAATATGAAGAACTCTTTGGAGAAACTCTCGATCACTCTGAAGAACTGTTTGGGAATGGTGGAATTGATAGCTTATTCAGGATGAAAGACATGTCTGCTGCTGATTCCAACTGTCGGGATGATGTGGCTGCTGAGGTTCTTTCTTCTCTTTTGAACTTTCTCTGTCTAAATTGTCTTTTTTCTTCATGATAGTGTTGTCATTTTTCTGGATTTTCTTTTTTTGTGGTGTTAAATAGTATGTATGACAATTATAAATATTTTGGGTATCAATTTTCTTTTTTCCCTCTCATATTTGTAAATGGGAGTATTCCTTGCCGAATCACAAGTTCTAGTTTTTGGAAATGTACAAGTTCTGTATGTTGTAATTGCTCTTTTCTACTAGATTAATGTACAAGTTCTGTATGTTGTAATTGCTCTTTTCTACTAGATTTTCTTTACTGTTACACAACGTCAATTTTATTTTGGCGGTGTATTATAGCATATATGACATTGCTTTCCCGACTTGTACCAAAACAAAGTTTAATATCCTTATACTTCAGCGTCTTCCTTTTGCAGTTTTCATTGTGATCAAAGGCAAATGTCCCTTTTTATATGGGGCAGTACTATCTACATGCAAACAACTTAAGAAATGGTTACTGTAATGAGAGGAAATTTACTGTCATATTTGCTGAGTATTTATTTCGTATTGTGCTTGGATATGGCATGCTTGTTTTATATTCCTTAGGAATCACACATTCCATAATTCCAGCCCCCGAGAATTTCAAGTTCATGGCAAATGTTCTCGTGATCAATGACTAAATATTATTCTTGTACAGGGCTCATCTATTGGTCTGGTCAACACAGTCCAACCCACATGCAGCAATGGGGCATCTGCTGATTCCATGATGAGCAATAAAACCGATTCAATTCTTTATTTTGCCGGAAGGCAGGCTCATTCAAGCCTATCATTTTCTGGCCTTACCGGAGAGAGTAGCAGAGGAGATTACCAAGATTGTGGAGCTTCACCAATGCTTCTCATGGCAGAGCCTCCCTGGTGTCCTCCATGTACTGAGAACACCTTCCAATCATCTACTCGAAGCAATGCTGTAATGCGTTACAAGGAAAAGAAGAAGACACGGAAGTAAGTATATGCCAATAACACATATAAGAAAATGTGCGGCCTTATATGATAATTTCTAGTTTTCAGGATGTTAATTTACGACAAACTAAGTAGATAATCATGTCTTGATTCTTGTTCCTCTGCTACAATTTCTAGCTTTTCTTCATGTGGACCTTTTTCATTTGCCTTCAAGTACCAACATAGCTGTGTGCAATTTTATGCAAGGAGCAGCAGAACTGACATGACGATTCCAAATAATTTGAAATCATTTTAATTTTAACATGTGTGTTCTTAGTAGTATAATTGTTTCTCGGTATCGTAATCTGTAAATAGTGCATATTTGTTACTATTCCTGCGTTCCCTATGAATTTTCATCCGTATATGTTTTAGCAACAATCCATTCCGAAAGTTGAAGTAAAATTGGACCTGTTGGTTTTGATGTTTTATTCTACCCATTGGAGGAGTTTATATGTTTAACTACTGTCCTTTGCATGATAGGTTTGAGAAGCGAGTGAGATATGCATCTCGCAAAGCAAGGGCAGATGTGAGAAAGCGTGTGAAGGGACGCTTTGTGAAAGCCGGTGATGCCTACGACTATGATCCATTGGTACGATTCTTTTAACCATGCTTTGTTAGTTGGAATGAATCGGTTTATTTCGAACTAATTAAAGTGACGGGCTGTGTGGTTGTATTACGGCGCTGTCGGTTTTTATCAACACAAAAGCACCATGAATAAATCCCAAGGCCTAGTTCTTTGTCACCATAAAAAAAAACATATCAATTGATCGTTAGATCAGTCGCCTGCTCGGTTCTTTTGTATGGACAGGAGGACGGATGCTCACTGTTGTCCTCCGAGCCATATTTATGCTCAGTGTTGGTTCTGTTGACAATAATATCTACCTTCAGCTGGTTCCCAACGCTTTTATAAAAGCCGCTGCTGCGGCCGCCATCGGAATTTGACATTCTAAGTTGGCCGGACTTACAATGTCGAGTCACGGGCAAAAGCATGCAGCAGCTTTAATTTTGATCTTCGTTTCTATTGTTCTTTTCTTCCCTTTTCTATTTAAATGTATAGCAAAGATCTTGGTTTGTATGAGCAGTTGAGAGTATTAATGGCCATTTTCCATTGCACTTGTATTTTTCTTATCCTTCTCTTTTCTGCTGAAAGTCTCTCGTTCGCTGATAATTATGAAAAATTCCAAAATACAATTTTTTAATATAAGATAAAAAAAAAAATAAAAGAAATTTGTTGTAACAGAAAATTTTATCAAGTGTAATTTTTAGGTTGAATACAATAACATTTTAGGGTGAAACTAAAAATGTTTATTTTTGCCCTTGTAGTAGATTCTAGGGCTGTATATGAGACAAGACAGATCGCGAGCTACTTGAGATCGACTCAATCAAGGCTCGATAAATATTTGGATCGACTCGATCAAGGCTCGATAAATACTCGGATCGAATGGACTCGAGCTCGAGCTTGACTCGAGTTCTTAACGAGCCGAAACGAGCTACTCGATATTCGACTCGAAAAGCTCGTGAGCAACTCGAAAATATAATATATTAAGATTTTATTTTTTAAAATACAAATTATTAATAATATTAATATTTATGTATTAATATTTTTTTTAAAAATACAGTAAGATTTCATGTATTTAAGGTTCATGTTTGAGTTTGAGACTTCAATCGATTTAAGTTTAAGATTTTTTTCTTCATTTTGAGCCTTTTTGAGCTGCTCACGAGCTTCAGTTCAGGATTTCGAGTCCGAGTCGAGCTTGAAAATTTTAAGCTCGCGGGTTTTCGAGTCGAGCTCAGCAATACTCGTCGACTCGGCTCGTTTACACCCTAGTAGATTTAATTTATCCTTTTTGCCCTTATCATATTTTCGTATCAATTTAGCCATCAAAGTTATTTAATTGCTTTATTTTATACTCTTCTTCTAACTTAAAATACTAAATTATAAACCTTAAGTTAGTTTAAGGTTTATGTTTATGGTCTAGAGGTAATAGAGATGGTCTTATCTGGCCTTGGGTAGGAGGGGCACCTGCCCAGGACTCAGAATTTATTTTATATACTATATTTATATAAAAAATGGGTTTATATAATTTATGTGACTCAATTATTTTTAACATTTATTATTAAGGGTTTAATTTTTTTAATACTTGTTATTAGGGGCCCAATTTCTTCAATATTTGTTATTAGGGGCATATTTCTAAATTTTAGTTTATTTTCTAAAATTTATTTGTTATTATCATGCGTCTATTTTTGTCAGTATTTTTTTTATTAAAAGTCCATTTTTTAATATTTATTATTATAAGCGTACTCTTAAAATTTTATTTTTTAAATATTTGTTATTAGAGACCAATTTTTTCAATGTTTGTTATATGGAGTTACCCTTAATTTTTTTTTCAACATTTGTTATTACTAACAACTACTTAAAAAATGGTATGCAACAACAACAACAATTATTATGTAGTAATAACGATATCGTCCGAAATCGTGATATCCATAATCTTTATGTCCATAATATCATATGTTATTAAAAATTTACAACTACAATATTTACAGTGACCGTAATATCATCCGCTATATTTGCAATAGTGATAAACGCAACGCGACTGAAGACAAATTTAAACTGTAATTTAAATCTTTGATTAGGGGCTTAATTTTTTTGTTTGCCCTAGGACCACAAAAATCTAAAAAAAGGGCATGGTAATAGTAATACGATTTTGAATTTAGGGTTTATAATTTAGGGTTTTAAGTTAGGGGAAGGGTATAGAATGATGCAATTAAACAACTTTGAGGGTTAAATTGATGCGAAAATACGATAGGGGTGAAAATAATAAATTGGGTTTACTATAGGGGTAAATATGACCCTTTTGCCTTTACTTTTCATAACATTTTCGATTGTAAGTTCTAAACCCTGTAATGCAACTTTTTTATTGTAACTGATAGTGTTATAAGTTCGTATAATTTTTTAGGTTGAATAAGATAACATTTTAGGTTGAAAATGGCTTCAACTAATCTAATAATTATGTGTTAACTTGATACAATTTATAACCGCATATTAAAATTTTACGTGCAGTGATACTGCATATAGAAGTGTTTTTAAGAAGAAAAAAATCCATGTAAGCATTTAAACCTTAATAACTGACTGTGTTTACTATTTAGACTAACTGGTTGAAATTTTATATTATTATAATTTAAATAATTTTTGTATTTTTATTAATGATTTAATTATATATTCATGAATATTGTCGTAAAGCTTCATCATCTATGATTAAATTGAAATAAATATAATATAATATCTGTTTAAAAATAACTCTCTATTATTTGACTTTGATCACATTTTACGTAAGCTTTTTTCTTTATAGCTTCTTTTTGTCGTAGTTGGAGATGGCAAGCCATAGATTGTTATTTACTATAGAATAAATTCAAACATTTAATCTAAAAAATTAAATCAAAAAAGTTCAAATCAAATGAAATTAAACATAAAATAATTAATTTAATTAAAATTAAATTTAAGATAATTTTAATTATGTTATAAAATAATTATAGTTCGAGACGATAATAATCATGAGATAAGAAAATAAACAAAAATTAAAATTTTTAAATAATAATAAAAATAAGTATAGAAAGAAATATTCTATCTGATAATTGATAAAAAATAAACTGAGACCTGTCGCTACATAGTTTCCTTAAAATAGATTTTCGACCACACAACAGTTGAGATCACGAGCTATCCCAAATTAATAAAAAAAATATAAATATCCTACTCAAAATAAATATATTTTAATTTTCAAATTTAAATATATAATAACTTTTAATTTGAAATATTTAAAAGATATAATTACCTTTTAATATTTAAATTTAAGAGATAATAAGTATCGTTTAAATTGAAATATTAAAAAACATATAATTATATTTTAATATTCAAAATTAAATAGATAGTAAATATCTTTTAATTTAAAATATTTAAAAAATATAAATATCCTACTAATATTCAAATTAAAGAGATAATAAATATCTTCTAATTTGGGATATTAAAAAAGATGTGAATTATCTTTGAACATATATTACCTTGTACTTACCCCAAATTAATAAAAAAATGATATGAATTTAATTATTAAATTCATTAATGAATCACTCATTTTTTTCTAACAATCTCTCACATGAATGAAATTAATGATTTTATAAAATATTTTGCCTCGATTTGATAATAGACTCTACGATTGATAGTTTCATAAGATAGGTAAATGTCATCTTTTGAACATTCCCTTGTTATAATATATTTATTTTATTGGCTAACTAGTAGACGTGGTGTCCTTGAACTGTCATGTCGTTTGTGTAAACAGTGATATACTTCACACAACTACCTCTCTGATAAGATTTTGTAGTTTTCATGGGTATATCCATATAGCTGTGAACATCATTTGATTTTGTAATACTTTGAAAGAATTATGCCCAGTAGTCTTCTTGAAGTGGTCTTACCTCACTCTAACGTAGATAACTTATGTTGCTTGGCTCTCCGAAGCACACACTGGTCACTAAAAACTTTTCTTAGCCTATACCACTTTTATCACTATTTACATTATAGGAACGAACTTGAGATAAATGACTCTCACAATGACCATACACAATTTATGCAATTAGGTTGTCTCTTCGAACCTAGATTTTGGGATATCAATTAACTAGGTAGGTTTTCTTTCACATAAGACCTTTGAATATCATGGGCTTTGGTCTAGTTCCTTTAGATGTTTTCTCAACTTGATCTCGCTTAAACCCTTTGATTAGCGAATCCACAATGTTATCATTTGATCTTACAAAATCAATAGAAATAACTCCATTAAAGATCAATTGTATAATGACATTATGTCGACGACACATAAGTCTCAATTTATTATTATACACAAAAACCTATGCTCTGACAATTGTTGTTTAATTGCCACAATATATACATACTGTGGGCACAAGTTTCGACCATTCTAGAATATCCTTAAGAAAATTTCGAAGCCATTCAATTTTTTTTTCCAGATTTATATAGAGCTACAAACTTAGATTCAATTGTGGATCAAGTTATAATAGTTTGTCTTAAGGATTTCCAAGACACAACTCCTACTCTTAAAGTGAATACATATTCATTTGTACCATTGGTATCTTGAATATCAGATATTCAACTAGTATCAAAGTATCCTTTTAAGACAACAAGATCTATGGAATAATGCAATTCATAATCTCGAGTATGTCTAAGATATCTTATTGTCATTGTTATTGTTTTCTAGTGATTTTCCCCAAAATAACTTGTGAATCTGCTTAGACTACTCATAGTGAAAGTGATGGCTGGTCTAGTACAACTCACAAGATACATTAAGTTGCCTATAACCCTTGTATATTTTACTTGGTGAACATATCTATCTTGATTTTTAGATTGACGTGAACAAGAATCTATTGGAGTTATGATTAAACCAGAATCATATTTGTTAAATTTCTCAAGAATCGTATCCACATAGTGTAACCGAGTTAGTATGAGACCTTTAGGTGATCTTTTAATTTGGATACTCATAATCGTATTGGCCAATCACGTATCTTTCATGTCAAATATTGAATTTAACAAGTCTTTGTTGTATTTTACCATTTTATTGTTAATTCTAATAATGGGTATGCCATCGACATATAAACATTTACACAACTGATGATATATTTAATGTTTGTAGTTTTGACATATACACATTTATCACACTTATTTATCTTGAAGTCTTTTGTTGTAATGACACTATTGAACTTCTTATGTCATTGTTTTGGTGCTCGTTTAAGTATATACAAAGACTTCACTAACCTACATACGTTCATTTATTGATCTATAACTACATGACCCTTAGGTTGTTCCATTTATATTTCTTCATCAAGGTCTTCATTTAGAAAAGCTGTTTTAATATCCATTTGATGTTCTTCTAGATTTTTCAAAGCAGCAATTGCGAGCATTATTCTTATGATGTTATTCTTAATACGTGAGAGTATGTATCAAAATAGTTAAAGTCTTCATTTTATCAGTATCCTTTTATAACCAATTTAGCCTAATACTTATTGGTTATTTCATCTACTTTCATTTTTCGTTTGA